GACACTGAGGTCACATGACACTGTGGTCACAACACTGTGGTCACATGACACTGTGGTCACATGACACTGTGGTGAAATAACACTGAGGTCACATGACACTGTGGTCACATAACACTGTGGTCACATAACACTGTGGTCACATAACACTGAGGTCACATATCACTGAGGTCACATGACACTGTGGTCACATATCACTGAGGTCACATGACACTGTGGTCACATATCACTGAGGTCACATGACACTGGTCACACGACACTGTGGTCACACAACACTGCAGTCACACAACACTGTGGTCAGAAGACCCTGGTCACACAACACTAATAAAACAGCACAATTTCCTAACTAGCTTATAGTTTTTTTAAGAAATATAACCTACCTCAGCAATAAGCGAGGCAATATACAAGGCTGTCAGGGGGGTCTGCTCAGCAGGTTTCATGACAACGACATTCCCAGTTGCTAGGGCAGGGCCAAGCTTCCATGCCTGCATCAATAGAGGGAAGTTCCAAGGAATCACTTGTCCAATTATTCCAACTGGTTCTCGGCGCGTGTAACACAAATATGGACCATCTACAGGAAAAATGCATACTATGTTATTCTGACTATGGAACCTTTCTATACATCTTACTCAAAATTTTCCCAAGGGTAACCTTTGGACCACAGGGTACCTGATTAACTTTAATTAGCAGATGTCCCTGGTCCCTGGATTACAGTTTGCCATCCCCGCAAACAATGTATTGATGTCTATGAATTTCGGTCTGACACCCCCCCCCCCCTCTCCCCAACCGATAGGATATGCAGTGTAAATAATCTTACCTAGAGGAATGGTCTTGCCATGAATTTTATCTGCCCATCCTGCATAGTAACGATAGCATTTGATTACCAAGTCCAGGTCGACGTTGAAGGAATCACGGTATGGTTTGCCATTGTCAAGTGATTCAAGACTCTGTTTCAAAAATTAGAAAAAAGTTAAGCATTAGTTCAGACCATAATCTTGTAATGAATTTAGAACATTATTTGATGGATTCCAAATTCCAGAGTTTATGCCATTCCTGATTTTACAATGGAATTCGGCCACATTTTACTCGAATGAAAAACTTTCACCCAATCCAATTTGTCCTAATCTCATTCCTTTTGTCATATCATTCTCCTGCATTTGAATTCAATTGCATTACTTTCAGTGGAACCAGAGGCATTATTAAAAATTGGAAATGAGATTTGCATAATCTCAAATCTCAAATACCCCCCTCTCCCTGGGGGGGTTACACCACTAGGATTTGGGTAGGGGTGTTCTGCTGCGATTCTGAAAGGGGTAACCTGTTTATGACAAAAAAACACAAATTTGTAGACCCTATTTTTGTCAAAAGATATAATTTATTGCACTGAGTTCCTGTTTCAATTATCATGTCAGCTGGCGTATCGTTTTTTGAAGACCATAGTAACCAGTTTCGGTCAATACGAAAGTAGAATCCCTGAATATGACTGGAAACTCAGGAAAAAAATTGGAACTTGAGCGAAATTGCATACCCTGTTTATGACAAGAAGTTTGAAAAACCATACCCTGTTCAGCGGATAATCCCCGTATAGTTCATATATGGGAGTACCCCCCCCCCCACCCTGGGCCCCCTCTCAATGGAATCTTATGTTCAATTCATTAATGATTGATAAAACATGAGATTGATTGGGTTTTCATCACAAACTATTAAAAGCCCTCTAAATTTATCATATGACCATGAATAAACCCTTATGTTTATCAGAAATGGATTATCCTCCTCACAGCAATATAAGCTCGATCTCTCTCTATCAGATCTGCCAGTTTGTAGAGTAGACGACCCCTCTCAGATGCATCCATTGTTCTCCAGGGACTACCCAATCCAAATGCCTGTTGAGCAGCTTTGACTGCAAGATCTACATCAGCCTGAAAAATAAGTGTTATAACTGACTATTTATAATAATACTACAGTCAATTAATACAAATGATAACGATGATAATAATAACAATGATGATGATGATGATGATAGCATTAATAATAGCAGCAGCAGTATAGCAGTGTATCACCCACTTTTGGGTTCAATAAATTTTATTTCCACTTGAAAATTAGAAATTTTACTTGAACAATATTTAAGATGGAGTACTGCAATAAGCATGCATTCTTCACAGAATTCTTATTGATTAATGTTATCAATCTGCAAATGCGTCAACTAAATTGTATATTCAACAAGCAGTTCTTGTGATATTCAGCCATAATAATTTAATTGTGCACACTGTAAATTTCTGGCCTATTTCTGCTACAGGTGCAAATGTTATTCATAGCCTACCTTGTCTCCTTCAGCCACATCACAGATCTTTTCACCAGTGGACGGGTTTATAGTTGGAAAGGTCTTACCACTGACTGAATCAACAAAATTATTGTTGATAAAAACCTAGAAGCATTCCATAAATTGGTTAAGTGGTTTGTTTTTGACATAACTGGATGGGAGTATCAAAGTGAAGAAAAGAAAAATTGGAAAACAAAAGGAAAGAATATAACAAAAGAACAAATGGAAGGGAAATATAAAAAGAAATAAATAGGGAAAAGGGTGTAAGGGATTGGTAAATGGATTAGCTAGGGAAGAAAAGAAAAATTTAAAGAGAAAAGGAAAATAACAAAAGAATAAATAGAATGAAAATATCAAAAAAAAATTGAAAAATGATAAGAAAAAGAAAGTAAAGGAAAAGGAAGAAAGGAGGGAAAAAATCTAAGTAATATATTAGGAAGAAAGAAGGACAAGAAATGGAATGAAGAGGAAAATGTAAAGAAAAATTAGACAAAAAATATTTCACAGATTATTCACAGATTAAAATTTGGCTAGTCAATTAATTATGCTAGCCAAGGGCTATCGCTACACAATCCTTGATTCCATGATTTCCCATTTATTAAATATGACATATTAATTTACCTGATTGTATTTGATGTCTGGGTTGTCATTTACTTGTTCCTGCAATCATAAAATTGCAATAACTGATTTACTAAAGGYCCTGATAACAACACAAGGTAATCTTTTTTTGCAACTTTCAATGCATGCAATGCTGAAAAAAACAGGGTATTGCAAGTTGAAGGTGATCATGAGATCTGTCAGACACATGCAACTCTAGATCTCTATCTTTGCAACTGTACTTGCAGTCGCAAATTGTTTACTTGGTCTGTGATAAAACTGGTTATGTTAGCGAGGATATGGAAGAGCTGCGCCAGCTGATTAGTCATTTACGATGTGTTTGCATAATTTGCAGGTTGTAGGATAGATGTTACATGCTGCTTCTTAACATACTAGAAAAAATCAGCTTTTTCTGCAACTTTGTAGCATATTGCATTGTGAGTTGCAGAGATGGGGTGTTTATATACACACAGTCTCTTCTGCAACATGTAATGCAACGGCATTTATTTCAAAATTGACTCTCGTAACAGGGTTTAAGGCTTTGATTTACTGCAAAGAAAGGCCATCCCCCTGGCCACAAATAGATTCTATCATATATATATGAGTACAGATTATTAATTGTTTATCACAACTCAATTTAATCCACATTGCTGAATATTGGCCTGCATACTGGGCTATCTTATGATGTTGCTATATTCATATGCAGGCAACACATATTAAGGAATGTTACCTGTGCCAAAGCTGAAAGTCTGCAAAGCCTGATTGCAGAAGGCAGTGAACGCCTCAACACTGTCCTGGGAATAGAAGCAGCTAAACGCAGAGCCATAATGAATGTTACCTACATAAGAAAATATTTAGATGTTTAAAATAATCATGTAGAAGCAAGGTTACATGTAAAGAGATCGTAAAAGTCTTGAAGGTTGGACAGCTGATACCTTAATGATGCTTCAAGTTGATCAGGCCATGGCAGGACTGCCATTAATGTGGTCATTCCCCCTCTTCTCCCTCCCCTCCCAAGTCCTCCTTAATCCTTCCCTCTATCTGCAACTAACTTGGCCTATTATTAACATACACACTTGGCTTCTACCAAAATATCAAACTAATTCCATTTATTTATCGTAAYTTGTGGTCAATAATTATTGATATCTAAGGTTGAATGTTCAAACAACGACAACAAAGGTCAAGTTACCTAACAAATCAAGTGCAAAGAAGAAGCCATTAATCACAGAAAGTATCTAATCCACTTACCACTGGTAAAGCTTTTTAACCAATAAAAGATAAATTGACAGGCTTAATTTGCTTTCACATGAAAAAGTGTTTATGTGACATCGATCTTGCATTGCGTGCGTGCTAATTATAATGAGGGATATGAACAGCGTAAACATTGGCATAGGTTTTGCAATGGCTTACTTATTCTTAAAACTTGGTTCTAATTAACACCGAACGTCAAAATTTTTTCCTTGCTATAAAACTCTAACCTCGAAAGTAAAGCCCTCTTTCTTTCAGTGAATTATGGTTACGAAAAACCTTTTGGTTTTTCTTGGAGCGAATTTTGAAGGTCAGTATTAATTTCACCCTCTCGCGTCCCGTTAAACGGCAAAATTTATAGTTTTTCGATTCTTAAAAAATAAAAAATAATTTTTCCCCAGCTTTGCTCGATCCTTAAGTGGACTGCCTCTTACTCTTATGCATGATGACTGCAGTTCAGAATTAAACAGTTTTCAAAACTTATACTATTAATTGTATCATCACTCTATAATTCCATAAAAAAAATTWAAAAAATTCCTCTGACTGCCAAATTGGACTCGGCCTTTCGGCCAACTTCGTCAGTCTTCGGAATTTTTTTCATGTATTCCTATATTACCTATGTAATCCTATTATTTTTTGTTCATATAATCCTATTACCTATAGAGATTTGTACATTTCCACACCGCCAGTAAAATTATTATTGCACCTTGAACACTAATGCAACTTTATAAGTTATAAAAACTATGCCTAATGTTGAATTAAATCTACTAAAGCCAAGATAACACTTACCTCCCTCGAGTATGTATATTCGTTCTAGATCCACCCGCAGTAGAAGTACTCAAGAGAAGCACCTCTATACAAACTGCTTCGCAGTCGGCAAACACGTTAGAGTTTCTTTTGTTCTAAACAGGTTTTCTTAGAGTACACTCCATAAAAGGTAGTGTGTATTGTTTTGGTACTGGCTTTGAAAAATCTGTTAAACCAGTTTTTGTGTAAAATGTATCTTCAAACGAAGTTAGTCTTGTTTTTACAGTGGCCCACAACTGTCACAGCCAAAATGTCATGGCATGCAAGAGCCAAAAGCTCACGGCAAGAACCAACAACAGTTCACTGCAAGAGCCAACATATAATGCGAGCAGTCCCTCTATTTCCCTTGGTCACTGTCCGTCTGTCTGTCCTTGTCGATTGGCCAAGGAAGATTGGGTACGAGTCAAAAGTCCCTGGGAGAGAAGGTTTCGTCCTTCCCTCCCCAGGCCCCTCTCCCAAAATCAACGTAAAAATCAACGTCATTGAGAGTTGAGCAAAATAGGAACTATGGGATTTGGCCTAAATGGGGCCTACGAAATGGGTTAGAACTCTTCTCTTCTCTTCTCTTCTCTTCTCTTCTCGATCTCTTCACACACACAGGCACCCATAATGATAATCGTAGCGAATATTATTTACGGTCCTCCTGTGGTTTCTTTCTTTCTTTGCCAGACGTCTAATATATCAGCCACAGGCTTCGCTGGTGCTATACTCAATCTACTTTACTGCCCTAAATTGACAAAAAAATAACGATGGAGATCCCCCAAATCCAGTATACCAAGGTATAGTTCTGAAATTCTGTTGAATTCTGTCCTCTGCTAAGATGTATTATAAATGGGGCTCGCGCTCGATCGTTCATGCCATGCAAGTCCATATGATTTTGAGTACAGCTTTACTAGTATATAAAGCTTACATACCCCAAAAAATTTTGCTCTAATACGTAACCCCTAAAATTATTTTGTCAGTCCTTCCTTTTCCATAAAGCGAGCTACTTTGACTGCATCTTTTAAATCTAAAACCGTAAGTTTTGCATGTACCAGGTCGGGCAGTTCCTAATGGAGCTTGTCGGATTCAATATCAATAGCTCAAATTACTAGTACTGACGAGAGTTCAAGAGAGAGAATATTGCACAACTTTAGATACGTATAGTATGAATATGCAATGCACTCTAGTCTCTAAAGATTTTAAAGTTAAATATATTCACACAAACTGCATAGATATTCGTGGTACACTGTTAAAACAATAGTGTTTACACATGCTTTAAATCATAAGCCTAAACTAAATCCAAATGTTAACTGTAAAATTCCGGCAAATCCAAAGCTCATTAAGGTATTGAGAACGTGAATCAAAATTTAAAGAATGTTTTTTGTGACCGGTATTTTGTATTTTTCTCGATGTCTTTCAGAAGACTTGAAAATTAGAACGTAGAAAATGCAAACGTGTTTACTTGCTGTGAGCAAACTAAGACTGGAAAGTCAGGAATGGTTGGATTGGAATACGAAGCTTGGAATTGTAGTTTATATTGCCTATATGTCGCTATATAAAAATTTATTCTTCTTCGTTTTCTTTCTTTCTCCCTTTCTTTTTCTTTCTCCTCTGACTTTTTTTTTCTTTAGAATAAATTTTTTTATTAATCATGAAATTTTAATAAATTATAATTATTCATTTGTCTCATGATGAAGGGTCATTTATAGAACCACAACATTTAAAACTGCAATCTGCTAGTCTTTACCCAGGGATGGTGTAAACTTGATGGTGTGTCTGTCATTTACCACTCATAGGATCATCTGTGTTGTGGTTGGTTGATTGGTTTGAGCTGTGATTGGCTGTTTTGTTGTTAGGTCTCAGCCCAGAGTGTTTTCTCATATATTGTCAGGAATTTCTATACCCCTTTAACTATTGATGTTATGGATTAGGGTGGATTTGGATCTGAAAATGGCTTTCTTGACTTGACTCTGAGACACACTAGTTAATTACATCATGTTGTTTCTGATTTGGAGTTTATATGCCAGCCATGATCTTGAGGTCTGAGAAATGCTTTCTACATATGGTAGTACTGCTACAGTTCCATCCATCCATCCATCCATCCGTCCTTCCATCCGGCCCACCTTCCGTCCGTCCGTCCATCCATCCACTCAACCATCCATCCCATCCATCCATCCACTC